TCTTTCCCACTGGTTTTTAAAATAAAATCTTCACTTATAAAACTGAAACACTAAAGCATTAAAATACAGAAAGCTCGTTTAACTCACTTCACAAAAGCATTAACAGATGCCGTATCCCTTCCGTGACTATTTAAAGACAAACTGCGTTAACACTAACACCAATTGTAAATAGACAGAGGGATACTGAACTGCGGGAACTCAAAAACTACCCAGACAAAGTCGTCATGGCAACTAACAAACCATTGAAGACATGGAGTCCCAAACACGGCTAAATATGGGTCACAGGACAGGTCAAGGGACTGACCCGCTGCACCGCACGACACGGCAACGTGGACGGGGGCGAGGCCGGGGCCGGCTGACATGGTAACTGTGATGCATAAACCAATCTTCCAATGGGGAGCAAGTGCAGGAGGGCGGCCGCGGCCTTATCTGTACTGGTAGTTCATGCTGTGGTCTGCGTTCCTGCCGTAGCCGCCCTGTGACGACTGGTAGGAGCTGGGCGGGCCGCTGTAGTTCTGGCTGGACCCCGGCGAGCTGTAGTTTGACTGTGAGTAGCCTCCTGCGGACAGAGTGGCGGGTCAGACAGGAGGGACAAGGACCTGCTGGCCCCTCGTGGGAGCTCGGCACGAGGCCCGGGCTGGGGGGCGACCTCAGGGACTCCTGCATCACTCGACCCTGCTCCTAGCGGTGGGGGTGACCTGCCCCATCACTGGCTGGGACCAGGGGTCACAGGTGCAGTCACAGGCCTCCTAGCGAGTGCCAACATTAGAGGAGAGAATGGCCGACTCCTAGCTCCTCCCTGGGCCCCTGGCAGCTGCCACAGCAACCCTGCCACGTTGCTTCTGCTCCCACCCAGGCCACATCTCTCCTTCACACCTGCCAGGCCTCCCACTGCAAAGTCACGGCTGGGCTCACCTTGTTTGCCCTGGTATGAGGAGCCGCCCCCAGAACCTCCGCCGTAGCCGTGTGAGCCCGGGTTGTAGGACGACCCGCCAGAGCCATAGCTGTTCCCGCCACTCCGGCCTCCACCGCTGTAGTCTGGGGAAGGGAGACAGTGTGCCTGAGGGCTCGGGGGGGACGGGCGGGCGTGCAGCACCCGGGTGCCCACGGGCCTCTGTGGGACTGTGCGTGTGTACTCGGCACACCAACAGACGGTGACCGAGGCCTGGCCTCTTCCCCTGCTCTCACCCCCAGCTTTCCAGCAGCCACGGTTCTGGAACCACATGGCCAGCCTGTGCTCAAGGGGGCCTCCTCTCCTGTCACCCAGCTGTCACTGAGCAGAGGGCACTGCCGGCTGACAGTCTGCTGGGTCTGGCCACAAGGGAAGAGGAGATGGAGGACAGGGAAGTGGATCCGGACTTTCAGTGGCAGGATGATTTGCAAGCTCCACCCCTGCATCTCATAGGGGCCCGAGAAGGCAGGCCTTGGCTCCACCTGCATCCTGAGAGCAGAGGCAGGGAGCGGTGAGGCCTGAGGGAAGCCTGCCTCAGACCCGCCTGGCCAACCCCAGACCACAGGCGTGCCCAGCTGTGCTGCTGCCGGCCCCTCCTCCACAAGGCTGGGCGGGGTGAACTCCCGCCACTCTAGGTGCCATACCGGGCCCTGTGTCCCAGTCCAGGCCCTGCCTGGCCCTTAAGCCAACTCACTGAATTTGCTCTCGTAGCTGTAGTCGGCGCCGCCCCCGCCGGGGGAGCTGTAGGAGTTGGAGTAGGAGTAGTTGCCCTGGCCGTGGTTGTAGCCCTTCTGCTTGCCCTGCGGGGCCCCGTAGCCGCTGTACTGGCTCTGGTTGTAGGACTGCTGCTGGCCCTGGTGTGACTGGTAGCCCGAGCTGTAGGAGGGCTTCTGCGGGCCCCCGTGCGGTTGCTTCTTCCCGGCGTGCTTAGGGGGCACCGGCGAGTTGTAACCATCACCTTGATAGTAGGAGCTGTAGCCAGAGGAGCTGCCACCGCCCCCGCCGCCGCCACCACCAGCATTCCCAGAATGCCCTCCGTTGCTGTAGAACTGACCTAAACAGGGAGGCAGCGGGTCAGGTGCCGCAGGGTTGGGCAGGCAGAGGGAGGCCCTGAAGGCTGACCCACACCACTGCCTCGAGGCGGCGGGAAGGCGAAGGAAGGAGAGGAGCGGGGGCGCTGGTCACCACAGCGGCCAGGAGCCCACTCGCCCATCGGCCGATGACAAGGGACCTTTGCCAAGCAGCAGCAGGACAACAGCTGTTGCAGCGGATGGCAACGATACAATGAAATGGGCTCCAGGAGTGGGGTGACAGTGACTAGCTGACCACAACCCAGATGTCCCCAGCATGACAGGAAGAGCAAAGCCCAGAGAAGCAGCGGTCACCCCCACCTCCTTCCTGCTGTGCTGGGAGCAAGGTCAGCAGGCACAGGCCTAGGGTCCCCAGGAGATGTTAAGAGGCCCCTAAACTTGCCATCCTTCTCCTCTGACTAACAGAGCTGACCTCGTTCTGGGAAGGGGGAGCTGAGACAAGGACAGACATGACGTAGGGAGCAGAGCAAGTGTCCGGCCTTGTGAGGAAGAACACTGGCAGCAGCTGGGGTCACGGCGGAGGAGGCCCAGAGGACCTCCCTGGTTCCCAGCACAGCTGCCGAGTGCAGGAAGGACCTTGCAGTGGGGCTGGAGAGCGTGCAGTGCAGCTGCCACAAGCACAGTCCGAGGCTGAGGATGCCACGCGAGGCCCCACTCCAGGTCCCCAGCACAACAGCGCGCTCTGGCGGATGGGGCAAGGCCCCCGAGGGTGGGCAAGGCTGCAGCCTGGACAAAGGTCGTGGGGGCGGCAGTCTAGTCCCACAGGGCAGAGCAACTCCCAGTACTCAGGCTGGAGGGGGGGAAGCAGGTGGCTAGGCCTGGGCCCACAGCCGCCCCTGCCCCAGCCGGCCAGGGTGGCTGCTCCACGAGGCACAGGGGACACTCCCACACAGCCTGCCCTTCCTCCCGTTAGAGCACCAACGGACCCATGCTCTCTGGGCAGGGAGTCCCCACACTCCTTCCACCAGCGGGAGATGCATTGGCCCACGTGCTCCGTCATGGGCTGTGAGCACAATTTGGATGGACGCCACAGCAAACTGCTTTTTTTTTTAGACTGGCCAGTCCACCCCATCACAAAGCCCAAACACCAAGAAGGACAGGTCCCACCATGCGAGAAAGCAAACATGAGGATGCTCAATGAGGACACTGGGAGGGCGAGGCCTTCGGAACCCCCCCAAGCAGCCCACACCCCCGGGTGCCCCGGCGTCCTGCGCTGAGCACACCGCCTGCCCCGCCTGCAGCGGGAATGAATGAAGACGCAAGGACCGAGGGCTTGTTACTTTAACATGTATTGATTAAAAAGAAAAAAATAAGTGGGAGGGAAGTTTCCAACGTCATTCAGGATAACTATTTCCTGGTATAAAAAGACATTATTCTCAAACAATAACTTTCTAAAAAAAATAATAATACATCATGCAGTCAAAGTTTTAAACGGTTTCACTGAATGTTTCAAACCTCTGGGAACAAATCATGTAGTAACCGCTAGACCAGTTTTTGCCTGAATAAACGCAAAATCTTGCAAGTCGACACAGAGGCAGGCTGTGTTAAGACGTGCTAACCAGGCCAAGCCCAGTTTCCGAGGGCTTCCTCCTCAAAACGGGGTCTCAGGAAGGAGCTAAGTGACCCCTGCGCAATCGCACCCAGGGACAAAGCAGCTCCCAGGTCTCTGTGCAGCAGCCGAGGCCCAGAGCACGCCCGGCCGCGGCCAAAGCCAGCTCTTCAGCCCGAAAACGGGGCCCGTTCCAGGAAGGCCTTTCCCACTTACTTGAAAAACCCCATCCAGAAGGACGATGACAAAAATCTAGGGCCAGTTCCGTGGTCTGGCAATAGGGGCAGCCACAGCCCAGACGGCCCAACGGCTTGAGAAATGAGAAACGTGCCAGGTATGTGTGCACGTGCGCCCCTAATCCCGAACGGCGGGAAGGGCAGAGAAGGGGCTGCGGGAGACCATTCCCCACGGGGTAGGGCGAGGCTTGCGCC